TACATATGGCTAAAACTGGATTTTTCTTCCTACCTGCTTTATGTCATTTCAGCATGAGAAAAATGTAGTGCAAAGAAGCAGATATTAATAATCCAAAGGAAGAAAAACTTGTTGACATGATGCATGATAAGGGAGGAGTTACTATATTAATATTCACAAAGAAATGTTGGCAGTGGGAGTCAGTTAGGTAAAAAATATCTTTTTAAAAAGAAATTTAGTTGTGGCAATTATATTACCATTCACATCACATTCATAAACTTTTCCTTAGATTCCATGCACACTTCTGAACTTTTGTTATGGAAACAGGTAGAATGATAAGGAAATCCTTCCAGCAGGCATTCCAAGTAACATCTTAGCTTAGAATTAGAATTTATTTTGAAAGTAATATAAATTGAGATATTATTCTGAAAAAAAATTGTAAGATCTAGCTATTAGTGCAACATTTCCAAACCAACAGCATACCATGAAGAAAACAGCTTCCTATTTTTAATAGTGGTTGTAAAGCAAAGGTCTGTGACTTTACACCAGAAGTTTTTCTTTGTTTGAATAATTAGTCAGTTTCCAGTGACCAAAACAAAAGAGTAGACCTAAAACTGACAATCCAGAGGTCGGTCTATCTGTATAGTTTCAGAAAAAAATAAAATGGCATTTCTCCAATTTGAATTAAGTTGATAACTAGAAGCCATCAATGTAAAAGACAAAATCATGTCAAGAACACTTCACTCTGCAAGTGAAGCTACTTTTGTTTGTAACACAGTGAAATTTAATAGCAAAAGCCCATACAAAATTTAGATGTTATATTTATTTGTATAACAATGGTGTTATCACTAGTATTCTTGAGCCTAGAATGAGTAACTCCAAATTCCATTCAAGAAATTCCCTTTCCACCATGATACCCCTACAGGCAACACTGCAATAAAAAAGTGAGATAATCCTTCAATATCACAAAATGCTTTGACTCCAATGAAATGCTATTGTAAAAGAGTTATAGTAGCTTCTCCTGGATTTTTGTTAAATAAAGCTTTCTGCTTTTTAGGTGATAAAATCACCAAGGTTTTAAAAATGGGTCTCTGCCATGGAGTTTTAACCTTTTTTAAGGTATAAAATAACCCTATCTAGTCTGTAAGTTAGCATTAAGGTGACTATCCAACCAATGCAGACAGATGCTAACTTTCAGTAAAGTTCCCCCCCACCCCCAAGATCAGTTTGCCAGAAGTTAGACTAACCCAGCCATCTGGGAGGTAAAACCTATGAAAATGTAGTGCTCTGCTCCCAACGAAGCAGTCCACAACCTTCTACTCCACGCCAAACTAATAGTGTGCCATTGCCCAGAAGCAAAGGCTGCAGTAAATCACAGGAAAGCATTACAGACCTTCCCGCTCTCCATCACAGGGTTTTTTCTCTTCCTACTCACATAATTAGCACTCCTTTCTTTTACTTTTAAAAAATGTGCCTGTTTCAAATTTGTATTATTTTTTTCAGATGTCTAATTTCACTTATGTTCTTTCCCTCCTTGGTTGCTTCCCGCATTTCACATACCAGACAAATATTTAAAGGTCTGTAAAACCAGGCGAGGTTCCAAAATATTTTTAAATGAAACTGCCATAGGTGACAGACAGGGAAAGAAGGAAAAACTGTAGGACACGGATTTGAATAAACTGGCTGGAAATGTATTGGAAAATCTATTTAAATCGTTCTAGCCATGGATGAGGTTTCAATGAGGCATAAACATCCAGGTTACTGACAAAACCATCATGTTTCATGATCACTCAAAATGGTCTACTTGTCATGGTGCATTGCTTATTTTTTATTAGTAAGTTGCTCTCTTTATTCTTTTTCTTTTTTAGCATTCAGGAAGTGAAAGCATTTAAGAAAACATTCAAAATTCTGAGAATACATGTAAGTGAAATATTTAATGTCTGTCATTCAAAAAAGTTACATCATTTACATAGGGTTCATTTGTATATAATAAAAATTTCATCATAATGAAAAGTTTTCTGGAAAGTTATATGTTAATTTGTTTAATATGCTTTGGAAATATAGCTAAATAGGAATAGTTTAAAAAATTCTTCAAATATCCCTTTTATCAATTAAAAAACTCATTCCTAAATATAGCTTTATTTTCCACTTGCTCCTTTTTTTGTAATATCATCTGCAACTTGGACTATGCAAAGACTATCTCTTTTCATAGTACAGAAAATATGTGTATACTTCAGAAATTTGCTCATTGCATAGCAAACATGTAAACTTACAGAGGACCTATAAATTTGACCCTAATCTAGAAAAGTTGCTAAGATATTTCATGATAGTGTATTTTGAGGTTTATTTTTATGTAATTTTATGTAATTTCATTTGTCTTCTCATTTTTAATATATGTGTCAATTGAATACAACAAACAAAACTTCATAAAAAGTTAAAACCAAAGTAAGCAATTTTATCCTAGACTATCAATATTTAATCTCATTATGTTGTCTGGAGTTTTTCCTAAGTAAAACATGTTGGAAATGTATCGTGCTGCCTCTTAAGACAGTGTTTAAAAGCAATTTCAATTGTGTGTGTTTAACATAAAGTTAACTATATTTGCATCAAATAAAATGTTTATTAATGAAAGCTATTTATTATACAAGAAACAGCAAAGAGAATTCATCATACAGAGGTGCACACTAGAAGTGACAGATGTAAAAGTGCATGCAGAGATTTCTTTTTAAAAAGGAAGTAATAAACAATAATACGAAAATTACTGGGTTTGTTCCCTATACTCTTAAATGAGTGATAGCTTTTCTTTGAATTTACAATTGGAAAATGCCATTAACAGATAGGACTAATACACATTAGCAAGCAGGTGAAATGAATGTTTTTGGACTTTTATTTTACAACTACTGTGCTTGACAAATGTGTGGAATTTTTTTTTCAGTAATAATTTTCTTCAAATATGGGGTGGGCATTTTACTGCCGGGTTGCTCTGGTTTATACACGGTTCATCTAATTTCGTTTTAAAGCACATAATTTTAAGCCTTCATTTGCATTAGACACCATAAAGAACAGACGTTTGGTTGACATTCAGTAAATGACATTTAAGTCTCTCTCTCTCTCTCTCTCTCTCTCTCTCTCTTTTTGGCTCAATAGATTTTTAAATGTATGATTATCATAACCTAATATTGTCTTTGTCTTCACTGCAGTGGATTTCCGATCAAACTTTTCCCCTTCCTTTTATACTTTAGGGAATTTTCAAACGTCGGGATGTTTGGCTGTAATGCCCCAAGATTTGTTCTCCCTGAAAAAAATCATAGTGACAATTTATTAACTACAGAGCAACTTGGCTTTTAGGGGTCTGCAATTTCTATTTAGATTTACAAATATCCATTTGTGCTCAATAGACCTAATATTAAATCTTAATCATATTTAAGATTTCTTTTCATGCAAGTACTTTATTGGCTAATTATCTTTTTAATTCTAGGAACTGGATTGAGTCAAATCAGTGGGGCATTACTTTTATTATGAGCAATATATTTAAAGGTAATTCTAAGTTGAATTACATTCGTATGCTATGGTGTGGACATTTAAAATGAATCAGAAGTTTGGAAATCTAAGAGCCATTTGTATGTTTGAATATTTTTTTAATTCTGTATTACCATTTTAATCACTTTTACATAAATATTGGAAATACATTAGTGCAGTCAAACCTTAAATAAAACTGATTGGAAATAAAACTCCTTAGATTCAAAGTGGTTTATTCACACAAATTTAATAGGATATATCACAATTGTTTGGTCCATAAATATTTAGGGGAGATAGTTTCTATACAATGCATTTATCAATAAACAAAGAAACATGGACGATTTTTCTAGACCACTTACTGTACTATAAACACGAAGCTCAATATATAAGATTATTGAATTTATCAACTATATTTGAAAGAGTGCACAACTGCTTTCTATGACATGTTTGTCCCCTCTAACAGGATACACCATAAAAAGAGTTTCAGAAATAAGAGGTAAAACAGTACAAAACTAGTGAGGTGTCAAAAGGGCTTAAAACAGTTAATTTAACAAACAACACATATATCCTGATTTTCACAAACTTACTTCCAAGTTATATCATAAGGCACATAGGAGAACTGAGTTATAAGTAGTCTACTTAATAAAGTAGATCTATAGTACCATATATTGTTCTGTCAAAGAACAAAATTTATAAGTATCAATATTTTACCTGTAAAAGTGTATTAATAAGATCTCAGCCTTACCAAGGTTGTTTGGTCTGGTTAGTGGTAAATGCCCAAAATGTAATAGAAATATGAAAAGTCAAGATTTAAGCTCCATATAAGATGATAACCACACTTGCTAAATATATAATGGCAATCACACCTTTCTTCTGTTACAGTGTTAACTTATCTTCCATCATCTTTTTTTTTTAAAAAATAAGCTACTTTCTGTGCTAATTTTCTAAAGACCCTGAGCAAAAGTTACAATAATGCACTTTAATGTGGGCAGTGAACTGTCAATATGTAACCACACATTTATACAGCCAGAAGGACACCTTAAATTCTATTAAATAGCCACTTTGACCGCCAGAAGAGATTTAAGGGGTCCAAAAAGTGGAGAATATGTGCAAAGTTATTCTTAACAATCCACTAAAGCAAGACATATATCTTGACTTCTTTTTTTTATTTTATTTTATTTTTTTTTTAGGATATCCACAATCTAATTGGTATTTAACTACAACAGAAGCATATAGATGAACATTCACCACTGCCCAGACCATTAAGATTTTAGCTTAAGTTAAAAGGGGGGAAAAAAAAGCTACTGTAAACTAGGAAATATATTTAGATCAGCATCCACGAGGCTTCTGAGTTTATCTACTTTAAGACTAATCATTTCAAATCTCTAATATCAGACACACTTTTTTCTGACAGATGTTTTCAACCTGTGCCAAAGTAAAAAAAAAAAAAAAAAGGCAACTCAAAATCAAAGAATTTCATTGTTGTTACTAGTCTTTTAAGTTCTTTTTCATAAAGAATGTCAGATACAATATCATGGTACAGCTGAAGCTAGTAGAGTTATCAATTCAATTATACTGATTTTTGACTTCTTAAAAAATTATATTTTGCTTATTTCCATTTTCCCTGGGAAAAATAATTTAGAAAGAATGGTTTTCACAATTTCATATTTAGCTTTATAGGATTTCAAATTCTATTTGAAAGATTCATGGATACACAGGAATTTCAGTATTTTTCAGACACTGATTATAAGTTAACAATTAACTAAAATTTTTTCTTGAGTTGTACATGCCTAAAAAGATATTTCTTGAAAATTTTTCCACATAATCTATAATATTTGGGGTTATTAATGCTTTTTTTATTGTGGATGCTTTTGTTTAATCATATTTCTCATTTGTAATATTAAGAAATATGTTTCAAAATAAAAAACTACGAAGTTTTGAAAGTTCCATAAGCACACATACAATTGCAAAAGTTTTTAAAAAATAAATTTTAATTATCGGATTCTTTATTAGCCTAATCATTTAACTGGAAATATTATTTGTCAATCATTATACCACTCTTTATTTTTTCCTTCAAGATTCTGGAAATAAGTAACATACAATTTTAAGAGGCACTTATTAGAATGATTCAAAAGCTCCCCTTACCAACTAAAAGATCTAATTAATTTTTTTAAATCCAAATACACTTTGTAGACAAAAAGAAAAAAAAAGAAAAATACACTTTGTAAAGGACACAATACTGTAAACTCATTTGCCAAGTGGCTGCAGATGCTACACACCAAGCTGTTGTTTTATTTCCCAAATATCTTGTGGGTTAGGAAAAAAAAATCTTGTAAATAATAAAATAATAATAATTAGAATAATAATAAAAAGAAGAGGAAGAATTCAAAAAAGAAAACCAATGTTAGAAAAGGTTCGTTAAGGTAGTTTGTGAGGGGCTTCCGGATTCGTGGCTGTCCATGTTAGAGGTCACGGAGGTCACTACAGTGATAGTGGGATTGGTCAGGTCTGTTAAAGTGGTCGCAGTGCCGGGTGGAGTGAGAGCGCCGCTGTCTGCTGAGGGCGGGGCCGGAAGCGACGTGCCATCAGCTTTATCAACACCCCCATTCTCCTGCCGCAAAAGGTTCCTTCTGAATTTGGCTCGGGCGTTTTGGAACCAAACCTGCAAACCAATCCCAATTGATTTCTTTACCGATGTTTGTTTTTATACTTCTTTTCTTTCCTTCCATTTTTTTTATATATGTTGCTTTATATATATACATATATATATACACATATATATACACACACACACATATATACATATATATATATATATATACACACACATACATTTTTTGGGGGGGGGTTTGGGAGAAAGGGCTCCCTTTTTTCTTTCTTTTAAAACATTGTCATTCAATTAGTATTAGTCTCTTGACTGTGCATATTCCCCCCAGCGTTAAAAAGTGTCATTTGGGACAATGGATGCTTAAGTGGAGATACTGTAAAATGAAGGCACAGAGATAAAGGGAGAGAAATACAACCTCATTCCTCCCTTGTCTTTTGAGAAGGAACAGAGGCAGGGTCATTGAAAGTTTGCAAAGTAAGAATCACTCACATGAAATGAACATCTGACACATGGTAAGAATTTTTACCCTATCAGAACTTCAGTGCCACAGACCCTAAGCAGCCAGAAAGTGAAAGGTGGAATTTAAAGTGCCTATTTGTTGCCAGAAGTAGTAGAGGATCGCCTATGACCCACAGGAACCTGCTATAATTTCATGAAATGTATTTCCTCATGATGAGTTTAGGGACATGGTTGTATAGCAGAGCTACTCCAAGTACTTTAGTTTCTAAGTATGGTTTGTCAATTGGTTACTGAAAAATACTTGTACATTTTAGAAACTGAAAAAAAAGGTCTACCTAAATTGAGAAAGTCATAACATGTGAATGACGTTGCCCTGAGTTTGCTGAATAAAGTGAGACAGCAAAAGTCCATGCTCTGAACCTGACATAATGGACATTACAGCCACAGCTTGCGCAAAATAACATCACCTGCTTTTGCAGAACAGTGAGGCAAGCTATCCTGCCACCGGTGGACCCATCGTTCTATGGTGGGAAGAATGTGGCTGCATTTTTAAAGACCCTGGGTCTTTTGAGGGGGCACCTCCAGCAAGCCCCTGCAAAATCTCAATACCCTCTAGGGAGATGACTAAGGTAAACTAATAAGACGCAGTACAGGAAATATCTGTATCACTCTAAACAGGGAAGAAAACTATTTTTACTGACAAGGGGGAGTTTCTTACCTGCAAAACTCTTTTGGTCAGACCTGTTTTCTGAGCAAGCTGCTTGAGATCCTTGGCATCTGGGTTGTGGTTGATGGCAAAGTAGGATTTCATGGTCCGGAGCTGGTGGTGCTTGAAGGAGGTGCGCATGCGCTTGGTCTTCTGCGAGGGTGGGTAAGGTTGCTGATCCCGGTCCAAGTGGTCAGCCTCATTCTCGTTACAACCTGTTGCAGTAACAGTGAACAGATAAGTGCTCAATGGAAGCTCTTGCATGAGCTGATGGGATGGCAGCTGTATGATAACGCTGTGATAAAAAAACCACAGTGGAAACTGGCGACCCAATTATAGCAATGTCTAGACAAAAGAAAGAGGTTAATTGCCAAAGTCAGCTGAACTAGTCTGTTAATGTGGACACGACTGGAGTTATGTAATAGAAAAACATTAGATAAATCTGTCCTTTGCTTAATGGTTGCTGGGAAAACTTAGAAAGATGAATAAACTGTAAATTGTGGGAGTGAGAGAAACTTCAAGAGTGAAAACATAAAAATTCTTTGCCGATATATTCGTGGACATCAGCACACTGCTACTACACACATGCAAACACAGAATAAGAGCAAGAAAGCATTCTTAGTCCCCAAATATATCTTAAGGTATTGCTTTTTGTCAGAGGAGATACAGTGAACTAGTCATTTCAGTTCTTTCAAATATGCAAGTTTTTGAGAACTCACCACTAAAGAAGCATCGTGTACATCCCAGTATTTAGCACTTTCTGATACTCTTAGTACTCTCGATTAGAAAAAAAAAAAAAAAAAACTAAAAGAGGGCTAGATAAAGAGAAGTCACAAAATTAAAAATTCTATGGTATGTAAATAATCTTAACAATGATTTTTTAGGACATTTAGTGTTACCTGGTTAGCACAGGGCTATAGCCAGAAGAAAAGAGTTTTCCCTTGGAGATATTTTAATAGATATTTCTGAAAGCAAATGAATCTACACTTCTCTTCACTGGTTCATGCCTGAACCACTGCCCTCGGCTCACAGTTCAGAAACACAAGGTGCTTACTTCTGGCTCAGGGCTTGGCCCTTTTGCTCTGGGTGTGTGTGAATGGGATTTGAGCTTTGCTCATGGTTGGCGTGTCAGTGTGAGGGTGGCATCTTTTCTCTCCTTGCAAAGCCTTCCTCAGCAATAAGGGCCAAATAACTCAGCCTTTGAAATCAGCCTGGATGTCATTATCCCAGGATGTAAAGCTAAACATTTAAAAGGTCATTTCCAGTAACCTACTGACTCTGCATAGGAAATATGATTACAAAATGAAAACAGTTTACTAAATATTTACTGACTCAGTCATCTTCATAACCTTATGGGCATGAAAATTTTTGCTTAAACCTTATTTTTATCTGATGTATTTATTTTATATGTGTCTATATTTTATATGATCTATATTCAGATCTGACTATCCTCTGTTATAGTAAAATACCTAAAATCATCTGATCATATCAGTGGCGGTGGGAAGAAAGTCAAAATCTTGAAGAAAGTGAAATATCTCATAATATTATCTCTTCAGTTTTGCTTGATAACATATGATTTATTTGTTATACTCTGGTTAGAATAACTTAAAAAATATTTTCAATATTTGTACATACAAGTATATATACAGAACATTGTAGTCTTGAAAGTCATCAACCAAGAGCTCAGCAGCACCACAAAACCCACTTAAGAAGAAATTCTCCCTGATAATGACAACAGCTGGTATATACAGGTTTCCATAAGATTATACATAAGGGGGTACATTTGGCAAAAGAGCAGGTTAGTTTGTTGAGGAAAAGACCACAGTTTATTCACCTATGTGTTCCCTCAGTTAAACACAGGGCCAAAAGCTCAACAAGTATTCAATCAAGATTTTGAATATTTGTTCATCAATAAAAGTATGAGTTACTACTGATACAAAATCAAATAGAATGCAAGTCACCAAAGGGTATTCGATGCCAACAAAAAGCATACCAAATACTGTCAGACAACAGAGAGAATATTCTTTACATTTTATCTTATATAGGCTATCCTGATATCCTAAAAGTCCAGAGGGGATATCCCAGGTTCAAATATTCTACAGAATTGCACTTCATATCCTCAAACGGATAAAACAGCATCTATGACCCACCATAAAATTGTACTTTTCTCCAGTAAACTGAGCTATATTTCACAGCCAGAAATGTAACCAGCTAGATGATAATAGCTACAAGAAAATGGGCAGAGTTACACCTTAGTCCCTGGAGGCTTCTTCAAATAAGATTTCATTTGTGAGTAACTTCCTTGAACAGCATGTCAAACTGAATATTGCACTTGGGATAGAAAACTCAACTTGTGTTTAAATAATGCTCTTAGCCATGCTCTCCAGCTGTATTTCTTAGAAATGACTAGGACCCCTAGCCTAACTATATAATTGTTCATGTTAAAATGAAAATTATAGAAAGCTTTGATAAAATCACTTGTACTAATATGATTTCTATGTCCATATTGCTGATTAAAAACTCAGGAGAGATTGTTAACACATTAACATTTATGGGACTTGTCTCCACACAGAATACAATTCAGTATAAAAGGAGATAGATTATATGGCTTTCCTATGACTGTGTTATCACTTATATTATGCAACTTAATAGAGCAATATATTTCTTTTACAGAGTAACTCAGCACATTATGCTAAGTTACTTACGTTAAACTATAAATGCATTATGTAGACTTGTGACTGTTTCCCCCACAGTCTACATCTAAAGCTATAAGGTTTTCTCTCCCTGAGTTATGAGAAGAAATGATGACCCTCTCAAAATTGTCTTAAATACTCATCTACAGCTATACATCTGGCATTAGAAAGTTAGAAGATTGAAATAGTTTCTTTTCCTGCCACTTAGGAAACGGTAACATGATTTTCTGTTCTGAAAGTGTGTAGCCTCCCTGAGAGACCACTAGGGGTCAGTGCCAGGCTAATTTAACAACTACCCAGCGCTTTTGAAGTTGGAATGGGAAGAATTTATTTACAGAAGGGAGATTTCCAGAAATGTCTAAAATTTAGTTTCTCTATTAACACTAAATTACCTGCCCTTCCTATACTAGACTAAATTTTCTTTTCACACCTGGAGGGCTTTACTACAATTCAGCATTCCAAATAAACTTTCCACATCTCTCTTTAAAATACCTTCCTGATATCTGCAGGAGGAGGTATAAATTAGGACTATCTCATAAAAAGACATTTATTTGCCTTGGATCAAGCACTAACTGATCACTGCCAAGATTGACTTCTTCTCTGGGAGCCTTTAAATCATAAACATATTTTCTGTGCATGTTTTTGAAAGGTAATCAACCTATGAATTATATTTATTTTGTATCAGTATTACTCTTCTGAGGCCTGTTACATTTAAAAAGAGATGGCAAAATAAGATCCAAAGGGGAAAAAAATTAGTGAGCTAAAATTGTGGATCAGATGTATTTAACATGTTTTTAATTTATTGAAACTTTTGTTCTGCTAGTTTTATAACAAACAACATTAGATTCATAAACATTTTTTAATAAATGAATTCATTTCTGGCCAGGCATCATTAACCAAATTTAGATTGTTTTCATCAGATCATAAAGAAATAACTACTATTTACTGGTATCTCTGGAAAAGTTCAGAAAGGTTGGGGTGATTTCAGAACTATTTGTGCTGTGGTGTGCACACTCTTGAGGGTCAAGGAGACATCAGCAAGTTTTACTCCTTCAGGAGCAAGAGAGCAGTTTTCTCAACAACCTTATAGTGGCCCTAGTTTGTAAACTAGATACCTAAATGGAAGATGTTCATTGTTTTGAACATAGATATTTGCACTCTTTGGCTCTCCTCAGACAAGTAGAAGTCTGATGCTACTCTCCTTAAAGCTCCTCTGCTCTTTCTAACCTAAAATACATCCAAGGAAAAATCAAACTTAGCCTAATTCAATCAAATAAGCAAGCCAAAAGTCAGCCTTGCTGCCCTTTGACGAGAAGTCTCAGTTCTTGAAGACTTCTGCAGGCTGAGGGATTCTTCTCTCCAAAAGACTGGCTAGTGATGTGTGAATCTCTCTCTTTCTGGCTTGATGACTGGCTCAAAATTCCAATGTCATCTTCTATTAACAAAGAACAACTAGTGCCCAGTCTGTCCTGCCCCAGGGATCTCACCGCAGAGGAGACAAAGAACAGGAAATGGCCAAAGTGGCCCCTCAACAAAGACTTTGCTGACGTGCAGCTGGGACAAGAACAAGGCCAGGACTCTCCCTCGGAGGTCGGTAAAACCTGAGACTGTCCCGCTGCCCTAACACAGTGCGACCTTGGTAGGGTCTTGAGCAGCCAGCTGGCCCTTTTCCCTTGTCTAGTCACCCTGGCATGCACTCCTTGGGGACAAGTGCAGCCAGCCCCCAGTCTCCTAGGGACTTTGTGCCTGCCTGGCACAGATTTGTCCTCTTCAGTTAAATTGGCAGAGAAATCCCAAAAGGGAAATGTGGAGCAGGGTGAGGAGAGTCTGCAGCTCTTTCGTGACTTTCCTTGAAAAATCTGTGCTCAAAATAAGCCTCTTAGTTCCCACTGGCTTTGTGACCTCAGGCAAATCTCTTATCTAGTTGGATACCTGTCCTTTGTGATTGAGCAACAATCAGGCACCATACCAGGCACTGTGACTCCAAAAGATAGACAAGCAAGATTTGTGCTCTGAGATGTCCATGCTTTGGCCGGTAACAGGGTGTTCTTGGTTAGGTATCATATTGGACAATGCAGCCCCTTCCAACAGAATGACTCCCCTGACCTGAATCTCCTACCTGCTGAGATGCCCAGCCAGGCCAGGACAGGGAAGTCAGAGCAGCTAAATCAATCATCGGGCTCCCCAAAATATTAGCCTAGGACTTTCTGGAACTCTTTTTCTTAGGGACTGGAAATCATAGAAAGAGCTGCTATCCGGTCCAGTGGTAACAGGATGGCTCTCTGGATGTGACCTAAGGACATGCCCTCCATGTTCTTTGGGGGTAGAGGGGGGTGGTGCTGAATGTCCCAGAGATGGAGCTGGCTGCATGAGTACCCTGACCAGTGGAAGGGCAGGCCAGCTCAGCTGTGCTTTTTACCAAGATCAGGGATTTTTTTGGTTGTTTCAACATTCTTGCCAACTGTGTTCCTGATTAACTCTGTGCTGGTGACCACAGCCTCTGCCCCCTCTAAACAGACTGAAATTGGGCTCTGAAAAAAAAAATTCAGTATTTAGGAAAACCTCCTCCAGTATCTATAATTTGGCTTCCACACAGGAATTGCCCTGGGGCTGTTTTGCTCCAATTGGGAGCCAGAAACTAATGGGCTCATTAACTAATGGGCAACAAGGATTTGGCTCTGCCTGTTGGAGGAGTCATCGCAGTCCCCTGCTTATGAATGTGCTTTTTGCTATAACCTAAATAAAGGCCCTTCTCCCTCCCCCTCTGGCTAGCTCCTCTCTGTCTCTCTGTCTCTGCCTATGTCTCTTTCTCTTCTTTCTGAGTGAAAGGGAGTTGTAGTGAGAAAAGAGGCTGGTTAGAGTAAAGCATCCACTCGCAACCGAGTCTTGGGTGGGGTTGGGGTTGGGTTGCGTTTTGTGGAATCCCTCCAGCTGCGGGAAGCTGGGGCTGATGGAGAGGGGATTGATGACAGGGGCCCACCTGAGTTGTAATTGACGATGTCCACTCCTAGCGCTGGGCTCTTCCGCTTCCGGGGCCGCCCCTTCTGGACCGTGCCGGTACCATTGAAGTAAGGCAGGGCCAAGCCGCCACTCTTGGCCGCCAGCTCGGTGTAACTCAGCTGCGGTGGATACTCCCCTTGCAAGAGGGTCTCGAAGTGCGCGCGGCAGTACACCAGGCTGTCCTTCATGCCAAAATGGTCGCCCGTGGTCAGGGTCTTGTTGCAGGTGGAGCAGGTGAAGCAACTCAGGTGGTAGACAGAGTCTCGGGCGCGCATGACCATCTCGGAGGCGGAGATGCCAAGGTGGCAGCGGGCACATCTCTGCACAGAGAACCTTCTAGAAGGAAACAGATTAGTCAGATCTCTGTTTGAGGCAAAGGCATTTACCACTCCTGGAGCTTGGTTAGCAGTGCCGCAAGACAGAGAACTTGGGGTGGGGAGCTCCAGGAGGAGAGGACACGGCCCCATTCAGACATTTATTGTATTTGTTTATTGAATTGTTCTGTTGAACCAGGACAAAGAATCCCTACATTAAAAACAGAGGGATCGGTAACTGAGCCTCACTTTCCTTCTCTGTAAAGTGGAGATTAAAAAGAAGCCCGCGCTAGTTCACAGTGCTATCGAACGAATATTAAATTGCGATGTCAGGGGAAAACATTTCGTCGATTACAAAAAGGTCTAAGAACTGGGTGTGGTCTAAGAACTGGGTGTGGGAGGTATTGTTATTTCTAGATGTGTGAGTATGCGTGCAAGCGTTAAAACAGAATCTCGGAGAAATGACAGTTTTGCAGCGAAAAACTTATTCTTTTTTTAGCCACCTCTGTCCTGGGCTGAGAGGGGAGCTAAAGCATCTGCACAAAGTTGTGTGTTTCCCAGTCCAGAAACATAGCCAGGCAGAGTCAATAAACACGCCTGCCGCTGAGTTTACTCACCAGTCTGGCGGGCACGGATCTAAGGGGCGGAAAAGGGAACTCGGAATTGAGTGGCTTGGGTTTGTAATTGACCTTTCCCTGGTCATTTACATGGTTTCCCCGCCACGCTCGAGAAAAACCCAACACCTTGCCTCCCGGGCCGCCAGTTCAGATGCAAGGCGTGGACCTTGCTCAATTCGCAGTAAACGGAAAATAATAATAATAATAAAGCTCTACTTTTGGTGAACGAAGACGCGTTTGTTTCAATCTTTCGAGGATCCCCCAGTTCCCTAAAACTAACAGAGAACTGTCCCCCAACCCCACCAATGTGTGATCTGCATTGATAAATCTCTAGACCAAGGGTGTCCCTCCCACCCTTCCTCATTGCCAATCTGGGGGCACTGGAACCTTCCTTGGTCTGGAGACTGATAACTGAATCCCCAATGGGCAAAAGGTAGCGGGACAAAGAGCGGACGCTTGGGCTCTGGGCAAAACGTCGGGCTGGTTGGCCCTCCAGTTGTAACTGGTGCGTAAGGGATAGAGGTGCACTACCTGTAATAATCCTCCTTGCAGTAAATGCTACCGTCCTTGGCGAAGCAGGTGAGCTCGGACTCGAGGGCCAGCTTACATTCACAGCACTTCAAGCACCTCAGGTGCCACTGTTTGTCCACGGCCAGCAGGTAGTACCTGTCCGAGATCTTGCCCCCACAGCCTGCGCACAGAGCGGGCTTCTCGGGGCTCAGAGGGGGCATGCCCTGCAAGGCAAACACACCGCGCGGCTGAGGAAGGTGCCGGATAGGACAGCACAAAGCCAAGCTCCCCCGCGCTGCGCGAGCCCAAGCGGTTCCCGAGCACACCTAGGGCCTGGACCACGTGCAAAGGCAAACGTCGGGGAACCTCTGCAATTGCCTCCTTTGCTGCTTACTGCCTTTCTGTGGCGTCTGCCTGAGTCCAGCGTTCGAGTCCTCCCGGACTATTTACTCGAAGGCCAGTTATCTCTAGCCTCTTTTTAAGGGGTCCGCGTTGACTATAGTTTGTATGTTCCTGAACTCGAATAATTACCAGCTAAAAAGGGTGGGTTTCAATGCGCACAAAATAAGACAACGGAAACTGGTACTAGGGACTGTGAAGGAGACTTGAAGGAACCCCGATTGTTTTCTTAAACAATGTTACATTTCTGTTTCACTAAAATCTTACGGTAGCGTGGTAATTAAAAGGGAGAGATGATATGTGTGCTCATAGTTTGTCTGACATTGTTTTGATCGTGATGTATGGGGTGGATATTGTTTTCCTCTAATTTTCAGGGTTATGGGTCCTTTCCTAGAAAGGATGTAAAGTGCTTGTTCCCCGGGAGGGTCCGCTGTCCGGTCTCTTCTGCACGGTCCCTCTTTCCTACGCAGGCATCAATATCCCAGGAGATCTTTGTCCTGAGAATCTTAGTGCCTAAGTTCCCGCCTGAGTCCTACTGATGTGGCCAAGCGTGGAAAAACCTCCTCTTAGAGAACTCAGTCCCCTAGCGAAACTCAGGTTTGGGTTGCTATTGTTGTTGTTTTTACACAGGATAGCCACAAAGGGGAGTGGGGGGGGGGAATTAATCTCTGGACTTTTCCCTCAAGACTAGCAAAAATGCTTGCAGTACTTCCACGAAACTTTAGCGGGCCTGGAAAGGGAAAGTTTCGCCTTTTACTCTGACTAGTCCCCTCACACGTAAACTGAAATCACATTGCAAATGTAGAAGCTCCCACCCGCTCAACTACGTGGCGGAACCCAAAACACCGCTGACCAGCCCAGAGCAATCTACAGAGTGGATGCACAGTTCTGTTTGGCTGAAATCATTTCCCGAGACTTTTGTAGTGTCCCCTCTTCAGCTGATAAGTGGAAAGGGAAGCACTGGAGTCTTAATTGGTTTTCTTTATTAAGCAGAAGTGACTTGTATTATGAATAGTAGTGACAGTGGTAGTTGCTTATATCGGTTAAAGGTTAGAATTGCCTCGCTCTTGGACTAGTCCCCGCTCCTTTGGATTCTTTTTTAATTCTATTTCCCACAACACGTTGCATGCGCCCTCTCAGGGAGCTGAATGCAGTCCTGTCTCACTAGAGAAGTCCAACCCGACTACCAGAGACTACGAAAAACGCTCGGTTTGGGGGTCCCTAGATCCGAGCGTCTGGAACCTCGCAAGTGGCCCGGTCGCGTTCCAGCCCACGGCAAAGGTGCCATCATGCACCCCAGAGCAGTGCCCCCAGAGCTCCTGCGTGTCTGGGGCTCCTGGGCAGCTCCGTCCGACCAAGGCCCGCGTCCAGCTCGCCCTCTGGCCGCTGCTCCCCACCCGGGAGGCGCCGGGGACTCGAGGGGGACAGGAGCGCGGGTCTGAGGTCTGCAGACGAAGGCATCCTCATCCTCTCACTCAAGGCACGGCACGCCCAGCTCTCCGACGGGGAGCGAGCTCCGGGTCTCTACTGCGTAGACGTTTCAAATCTGAAGGGAGGCCTTTTTTTAGTCCCCCAAGCAAGCAGACAGGAGAAAACCACCCGCGGGTGAAGAGAAGACGCGCTCACGAGCCGCCGTGGTGCGCTCGGCCGGCCCGGGAAGAGGCTCGCAGCGCAGAGCGCGCGCGGGCGCGGGGACCGCCGCCGCCGCAGGCCCTCCTTACCGCGTCGCGGCCGTTGAGCTGGGCGCCTTTGGCCAAGCGGGCCTCGGTCTTGGATCTGCGCTCCATCTCCTCCATGATGCCTTGAATGTGGCCTCCGGAGATCCCGTGGAAGAGCATGGCTGGGGGGCGGAAAGGACACGAGTTGTCTTCTGCTCGGCACCCCACTATTTCCATATACACACGCCCGGGGTTTTCAGCTCATCCGAATGAAGGAGTAGAAGGGACCGCAGAGGGCGAGGCGGTGGGGCAGAGCCGACACGCCGCGGACAGAAAGCAAGAGGGAGAGAGGGAAGAAGAAAGAAGCAGACAGATTGGAAATTTGGTCTACTTGGAAAAGAAAAAAGAAGGGGGGGGAGCCCCAGTGGCTCCGTGAAGGAGATGTGCAGAAAACAAACACGGGTGAAGGGGAAAGGAGAGGAAGAAGGCGAATCGTACTGCTCTGAGAGATCAAGTTACTAATGGGAAACAACTGCGGGGGTGGGGGGAGAAAAACAAAATCTGGTGAAGAAAGAAAATAGTTTTGAACACAAAGAAAGAAAAAGAAGTGGTATTTTCAGAGGTCCCTGGCTGCTTGCAAGTTCCCAGTGCCTGTAGGTTGGGTTGGGGACTGCTCCTGCCGGAGCTGGGTCCAATTTGTTAAGAGACTAAAGCCAGCCCATTTTTGATAATTTAGTAGGAGGAGTTCTCTCCCCGGAGCAGCCACGGATTTTTATTCAGACAACAAAGACCTGTCATACTCCTCTCAGCCCCCTGGTGATGGGCAAGCGGGGACAAACATTACAAAAGGGGGGGAGAAGAAGGAGTGAGACAAGAGGAGGCATTAACTTCCCCCCAAAAACACACACTCTCTCTCTCTCTCTCTCTCTCTCTCTCTCTCTCTCTCTCTCTCTCTCTCTCTCTCTCTCACACTCTCTCACTCACTCAAGAGTTCCCAGTCGTGTTTTAAAGGGGGAAAGGAACCCTTATTGTCCACTTGCCCTGGAACAGGAGGCAGAGAGCTCAACTATTTGGTCTGAGTTCAAGACCAGACCCCAACTAATGACATACAAAATGTCAGCTCCAACTTGGGTTTCCTCCTTGTGGAATTTCTGATCCCCACCCTGTGAGAATAGCACCACAAATACGTCAATATCGGACAAAAAAATATGTGCACTTCACTGAAGTGTAGATAATTGCCCCTCTTCTCCCTGCCATCTCTTCAGCTCACTTTTTAAAGCAACTCTCTGCAATCCTTCCTTCCCCAACTCACTGATTAATAGTGGGTCCCCTTACCTCCCTGATGATGTACCAGGGAGCTACAGCATCCCCTAAAGTGAAAGTGGGCTCACAGAGCCTAGGTTTCTAGAGTTTCCTTTTTTGTTAAAAGATTTTCTTTAAAAAATTAGTGTAAGGAACAGGGCAAGGACCGGAAAGCTCAGGCATGAGAGTGGACCATGAGCTAGGGTTAAGTGTTCTCTACCCAGTGCAGAGAGGCAGGAAAACTGGTGATTCTGGCCCTGTGGGCTGACACTTGACAATGTGATCAGCAACTCAGAGATTCCTGTTGCGCTTGGAAACCCCTCTCCCTAAGGAGAGATAGGCACTTGCCCTCTGTACGTGTGCTCCTCATACTGCCCTTGCAGGACTGTAAAACAGGATACACCACACATTTCAGAGGATGTGAAAGGGACTCCATGCAATGGAGGAGGGGGAAGGTGAGAGCTGACAAGCAGAATGGCAGTCCAGCACCTCACAAGAGGTGGGATTGTTCTCTGCCTCTGTTCCTGTTAGTGGCAGCCCCTCCTTGGCCCTATTAAAAGGCACCCTCAATACCCTAATATTGTCAATTCATTCAAATCATCAGAAGCCCTGCAGGGACCCAAAGCATGGCACAGTGGTGGGAACCAATCCGGCTTGAACCAGAGAGAGGAGGTAGCTCTCTTCTTCTTTCCTCCCTCTGGCCTGCCTCTGTTTCCTGTCACTCTCCATGGGTTTTACCAGCACAGCGGGCTTATGTCCTGATACAGCCAGAATCCTTCACTGGCATCCCTGGGTCCAGACTTACTTCCCTCAGTGAGGGGGAAATGATGTGGAACTGTGGCCAAATCTGCAATGATGAAGGAAGAAAAAGAGAAGGAGAAAGGAAAGAAGGAAGAGGGAAGAGAAGGGAGAGATAGAATAGGGATGATGGGGCAGGAGGAAGATGAGAGGGAAGGAGAAAAGGAAGGCTGAAGAGAGGGAAGGACTGGAGGAAGGGATGGAGGAATGAAGGGACAGAGGGATGGTAGGGAGGAGGAAAGGACGAAGAGCAGAGAAGGAGTGAGGGAGAGAGAGGACCCCAATGGAGCCGCCCCACTTCCTACACCCAGCATCATCCTCTGAAGCTGCTGGAGTCACCTTTTCCACCAAACCCCAAATTCCACTGCTTCCCTTTGCTTTTTCTCAGGGTCAAAAATAATGTTATTTGCAGATTGGACGCTGTTATGATCCTCTGGGTGCCAGAATACAGCTCATAAAACACAATTTCACACAAAAATGAAGCCAATCAACTGAACTAAGCTGGAGACCTCCCCCTCACTTTGGCAGCCCTACCGGACAGCAGGGCTGCTATTTACTGTAAGTAATGTAATTAGCCCCTTTGGATGGAAATCAATGAGCTTTTCAGACCCACGTGCACAACCAAAGCGCCCCTAGGAGGGGGTGGGAGCAGCAGCACTTTCAGAGACAACAGGTCCTCTCACAAAGGGGCAGATTGCCTTCACACCAACCCGTGGCTAAACCCACTCCACCCTGAGGAGAAAGAGAAGAAATGGCTGGGGTCTCCAGAAGAACATCACTCAGTTAGCCCGTGCAGCTCCAAGGAAAAAAGTAAACAAGGACCCTCAATCTAGGGGCCAGTCTCATCTGCTTTCTCGGCTAAACTGTTTGGAATTGGGTTTGGTTCTTGTGGGATTTTGGTTCTGCCCAGAAAAGGCAATAGTGAACACAAGCACACCACTTCTTTCTTGCAAGAGATAACGTTAATGAAAAGAATTAATGGAGAATGAATGAAGAGAAAGTTTAACAAAAAATGCCAGGAAAAAAAAAGCCAAAACTTTGTGAAGTCACCAGGGAAGCCAAGTACCGAATTTCCATCAGCCATCCCGCTATCCCGGTCTTTCATTCTTCATCTGTTCCAAACCCACTTGTTAGTTAGTCACCTAACTAACAGAGCAGGGCTTTTGCTTGGATGTTGGCTTTGTCCCTTTTCTTATAAAATTCAGATTATAAGTTCCTCCATAAACTAAGATTTGCTACCTCCTGTAAAGAAGTAAACTGCAAGGATTCTTCCTTCTCAGGCAAGACAGGAAGTTTATAGAAAGTTAGAGCTGGCTGGGGGCTGCTGGAGTTTGGAGGTCCCTGTTATTTCTACAGAAACAACCTCCCATCTGTCCAACCCTGATTCTCACACGGTTCCTTACAGAGGAGAAGGTGGGGCTGGGGGTTGCTACGAGAATTGGGTGTGTGACCTGAGGAGTTCTAATCTTTTGGAGCCCTGGGAGATTACCTAAAAGCGTCCCATCATCTCAAAGGATTGTAAGCACTGTAAGGAGAACAGCTTTGTGCCTCGACCTTCTCTCCCCTCTCAGGAGGATAGACCAGGTTCCTGCTTGCCGCAGAAAAGCCCATCAGAGCTCCATAAAAGCTGGAGAGCTCCCTCTTGGCTTGTTCAGTTCCTGGGGCTGAGCTGCTGCCTCTCACTGGGTCAGGTGCACAGGGTTCTCCCTCCTCCCACCAGAAATAAGAACTGCAGGCTCCTCTCTGAACTCAAAACTGTTAGGAGCAATGGGCAGAACCCTGGCAAGGTGCAGCCCTCCCCCATTCTTGGACACAGGCATTTCACTCCTTTCTGTTCCACCTATTTGGCTACTGTTAA